GGGAAAAAAGATTACAACCACATATCCAGGGACTGGAGAGGCGGCTCAGTGGTTAGGAGCAATTGTAACTCTTGCAGAGGACTTAGCACTTCCATAGTGGCTCACAACTATCTCTAACTCCAGTCCCAGGGGATCTGATGTTTCTTCTGGTCTTTGTGAGCACTTTTGAACACATGGTGCACTTACATGCAAGCAAATTACACATTAAAAATGTTCTAAAATCTTAAATTTAAAAAAAATCTGTAGATGATATAGTGTGCATAGGAAATCAGAGGAGAGGGGGCTAGAGAGATGGCTTAGCAGTTACGAGCACTCACTGCTCTTCCAGAAGACCTGAGATTGGTTTGTAGCACCATGGTGACTCACAACCATCTGCAATTCCAGTTCCAGGGATCTGATGCCTCCTTCCTGCCTCTTCAGGCACTGCATGCAAGTGGTACACAGACATACATGTACTCAGACCACCCAAAACACCCACAATCCCAGAGCTCAGAAAGCTGAGACAGGAAAGTTGGCACAAATCTGAGGTCAGTCTTGGGCTATCCAAGCCCCTCCCCTGAGGACCTCCAATGAGCAGGCTCTGCCCACAGAACACTCTAACGACATTAATTTCTGGACCCAATCCCTCTAGATGCAAGCAGCCAAAGTTCTGCCCTATAGAGTAAAAAGCCTAAGGTTAGGCCACAAAAATCCCACCAATCCCAGGACACCCTAGAAAGCTCAGCCCCTCAAGAAACCCGATAAACACCCTGCCTCCTGTTCAATTTTTTTTTTTTTGAGACAAGGATTCTCTGTGTAGTCCTGGCTGTCCTGGAACTCACTCTGTAGGCCAGGCTGGCCTCGAACTCAGAAATCTGCCTGCCTCTATCTCCCAAGGGCTGGGATCAAAGATGTGCGCCACCACTGCCTGGCTGCTTGTTTGCTTTCTTACTTATCTCCAGTTGGACTTAGGTTCAGTTCTTTTGTCAACAAGAGAATTAGTGCTGTATTCTATCCCTGAGAGACATAATGTTAGATGGCCTCCTTTTGTGACAACATGGACAGTACACCTAGACACACTAGTTCATTTGGATTGGCAATGCTGTCTCATAATTCCAATCTGTTCATTTTCAGTCACCAGCTGGGAAAGTCTGATCAAGATTTTGGAGAAGGAGACGAAGGATGAAGCTTAATGGAGAGTCGTTGCTTAGTGCAAGACTTTGGGTTTGATGTCCTCTACTTCAGAAAGGGAAAAGAGAGAGCAAGAGGGAAGGAGATGATAGATAGATAGATAGATAGATAGATAGATAGATAGATAGATAGATAGGAAGAATATTAGAAGTTAGTTCATTTTAGAGGTGTTAAAGAATTTGTTTTTATTATCTTTGCTGTGGTAGATTAGAAAACCTGGACAGAGCATGTTGCATCTCCACCCATCAAGAAATTAAATTAGCCAGGCACAGGCCTTTAGTGGAGCCTCTCAGGAAGCAGAGACAGGCAGATCTCTGTGAACACCAATGTGTCTGATCTTCATAGTGAGCTTCAAGCCAGCCAGGGTTATACATAGTGAGATCCTGTCTCAGAAAGAGAGAGAGAGAGAGAGAGAGAGAGAGAGAGAGGGAGAGAGAGACCAAATTCCTTTCAGTGCTGTCATTAAAGTTTGATTTGGCATTAAGACTTGTTGGCTTTTTTTGAGGCAGATCTCTAGTTGGCCTCCAGTTTGCCAAGGATAAGCTTATTTCTGATCCTCCTGCCTCCACTATCCAAGTGCTGAGATTCCCACTGTGCACGACTCCACCCAGTTTTAGGTGTTATCAGGGATCAGACTAAGAGCTTAATGCCTACTAGGCAAACTCTACCAAAGAGGTCCACCCCTGACCCGCTCTGGTGGACTGGATCAACAGAATGTGGCAGAAGCTATGCTAGGCTGATCAACCTCTGAAAGCAGGTTCCTCCTCTGCTTCCATCTGCTCAGAACACTGTCCTAAGGCCAGTTGCTGCAAGAGGAGAACCCTTTATGGGGAAACAGAGACATCCTTCTCTGTGCCCCCAGGTAACCATTCACCACAGAAAAGACCACTGAGGGTATCACTGTCCCGGTAGGGCTGCCACACTGAAGTTCTCCAGACCTGTACTCCCACTGGAGCAGCAAGAATTGCCCGAGTCACCTGTACAGTTACTGAGATACACAGTTGAGTGTTGTCATCCACATGAACCATTCTTCATACCCCCACTGTGAACACTGACCAGTTCACGACTCCTAGGAGAAAGACAGGCTTGGGTCCCAATAAGCTTTATCAACCAACCGTCCTAGTCAACAGTCTGTGTTTGTGCCTCTCTGTACTATGTGGTTGTATACACTCTGTCAAATGGCTGGATTCACAGCCAGCAGGACTCTAAATACAGTGTTCAAATAAATTATTTTTTCTTTACTAAGACCCATCATATCTCACAATTAAGAACCGTGGTAGTCAGAGTCGTCACTGCTGTGAACAAATACCTGGGAGAGATAATTCAAGGTGAGGGATTAATGTTGGCTTACATTTTTTTGGGGGGTGGGTGTTTGACCTTAGATGGTGGAAAAGGTGTGTTGTAGCAGCTCACATTAGGGCAGTGTGCAGCAAACACTGGGAACATAAGAGGGCAGTAGGGAAAGATATGGTTCTCATGGACACATCCTCCATGACATATCTCTTCCAGGTAGGGCCTACCTTTCTCCACCTCCAAATGTCATTATCTTAAGATAAATTCCTGGTCCTCATAATCTAATCTTTTCAGGATTTTTTCCCTCAGAGACATACCTAAGATTTGCTTCACCAGTCTCCTAGGGATTTATTAATTCAAGTCATCCATAAAAAGTAGTCTTTCCATGCTAAGCAACATTTCAAAAATGTGGTTGGACCCTTTAAAACCATAAAATCATCAGCAAAATCTACAAAAATACGTAAGAGAAAGAAATGTGGCTGAAGTGATGGAAGACTCTTGTTTATACAGAGAGCTAAAAGAATCAGAAAGAGCATCAAGATATTCCGTCTCTGCTAGGAGCATGGGTACCACATGACCCAAATGTATTCACTCTTCTGTACGCACCTACAGGGAAACAATGAAGACAGAGGAACACTGGTCTGTGGGGCCACTGAGTTCAAAGTGTTAAATCACAAACACATTAGATCCCTCAGGTCTGGTGAAACTTGACTGGCCCCATCTTTTGCTGGACAGAGTACATCCTCTAATCAGTACCTTGTGATTCCTGGAGTCCTTGGGAGGATGAAAAATATTATGCTCTCATTAGGCATTTCTTACTCCACACATGTACATTTCGAGCATTTCTCCAGACAACCTGGTTTCATTTTGATGGGGCACAAAATCTGGCCACAGGAAATTGCTGTGTCTATTCCCCTCTTAACCCAACTTAACTGCATCTCTGAAGTCTAGGAAGTTCAGGAGAGCCATCTACCACTCACTTTCTCTTCTCTCTGTATCATCTCTTTTAGAGACAGAGGTTGTTTCCAGCTACCATGTTCTGTGACCCCGGTCTTCCCAAAAAACCCTTCCTACCTATATGACCCACTTCTTATGTGAAGCCCCACACCAGTGCCTGACTTATTAAAGCAATCCACAGATGTTTGCCAGAAAGAGTAAAAATGTCAGTATTAGTGTTTGGTATTCTATCTCCTCTGGGTGTACTCTATCTTTTCCTCAAAAATGCTTGAGCTGTACTCTTATTCCCTATACCTAGAAGCCCCTCCCATTTCACAGACCAAAGAACACACCCTATTTAGAATCATACAAGTTTTAGAGTTTTAGATGTGTTCTTCAGCACATATGCATCCAAGTCTACTCTATCACAGGCTCTTTCCCATCAAGGCAACCTGGATAGGAAAATAGAGACAGAGCAATGGTCTAAGAGAAAGGAATAGGGCAACATGAATCCATGAACATTCATTCACTCACCCACCTATCCTCTCATCCACCCACTCACTCATTCACCAGATGATTCCTGAACTCAGGAGGTGAAGAAGAGAAGATATATTATAATGGCTAGACAGCTATCTCTGGCCCAGAGCAACAGAATGTCAACAGGTGGAGACAGAAGGAAACAGGCATGGGGCCTCCAAGGTCAGGAGAACCCAGAACAAAGCACATTACATACGGATGGGTTCTGGAATATGTGCAGTGGACTCAAGGGCTCAGACAACCCACCAAACTTAAACGGGACCGATGGCCTCCTCTGGGACTTAACAAAAATTGAATACCTTCCCTAGATACAGGGAGGCCCATTTCTCCTTAGAGCATGCTATAAGCAGCCAAATATTCCAGACGAACAAAACTTCAGAACACATGAGACATATTTATTCAGTTCACATCTAACATCTATTCTCTCCAAAACTGCACCACCACAATTTGGGGTGGCCCTGGAAGTGACCTTGAGGGAACTGTTGAAGGTGGCACCAGACAGGGTTGCTTCCAGGAGGATTGTGCAGCAAAGTTTTGTACTCACAGATGGATTCCCACCATGGAACTTGGAAAAATCCTGCAAACTGCAACTGAGCCAGATGTAGAAGTCCCAGCCTCAGACCTCTGCAGGAAACACCTCCTCTGTCTGTGACTGATCACAGATCTCACTGGTATGTCAGTGTCTCTGGTAAGAGCTACTAATAGCCAGTTAGGTCTAGTGCCCACTCAATACTGATGAAGTCTCTCCTTTACAGATGTTCTTTCTCCAAGATAACTCATGAAGATGAGTTATCTCCCTTCACTTGGCTGGCCAAATTGTCGTCTATTGAGAAGTGGTTCACGCTCCTTCGCTCAGGTAAAGCACAGCCTTAGTACAGTGGTAGCTGAGGCAGGTGACAAAGATCACCAGGGCAGGACATTTTGCAAGCCCCAAACTCCCTTCCATGCTCCACTAAGGCAAATGATCCCAAGTAGAAATTGAAGAAAGTATTGGCCAGGGAGACCAAGTCAGAGGAGACGCCTAGTGGGAGGCTCAGAAACAAGAGGACCATGGGCTGTGGGGATCACAGGGTCACCAGGATGCCCAGGTGAAGCACCAGACACATACTTAAGATGAGGAAGCCTGAGGAGTCCCAACACAAAGCCCGACTCAGTTCTCTAACGATCCAGTCTCTGTAGTAACTCACTTCCGTATAAATTCCAGGGTATCCAATCCGACCACAGCCAAGGCCCCAGCTCACGATCCCTACCTGCACCCATGTTTTATTAAATTCGCAGACCATGGGCCCCCCAGAATCTCCCTGGAGAGAGAGAAACAAATGACAGGAACAAAATTGACTCGTAACACAATAAATTCCACTGTAAGGCTCTGGAGAAATTGGTACAGACCAGACTCCTCAGGCATCTCCTAGTCCTGTAGCCTTATGAGACTTTGGAATCGATTTTGCTTTTTAACAAATGAAAAATTCTACTAATCAAAGAGGTTAGCTGAATATAAACCAATATAATGTCCCTTTTCTGAAGTAATGACTAAGTCAGTTACCCAAGCACACAGAGGAAACTGAAAACATGGAATTTGTATTATTGCCTCCCTGAGTCACCCTACCCCAAGCCACGGCAGATGTCATCAGCTGTCTCCTCCTGGAGGACCGTGTCAGGCTAGCCCAGGAGCTGTGGTGGCTTGACCTGACATTCCATTTGCTTGAATAACAGTAAATGGAGGATCTGGGACACAACCCAGGCCCCAGTGTCTGGGACTTAGGAACATCTGAGGAAAGGATAGTGGGGTAGAGTGGTAAGGGACCCAAGAGCTGACCTGGCAGGCATCTCCTCCTTTCTTGTTATAGCCACAGACTCCGCCTTCCTGGACTAGGGTAAATATTTGTCCTGTGATGCCCTTGAGAATCTTATTACATTTCTCATGACGAATAACATTCAGCTCGACCTCCCGAAGCACTCTTGATGCGAAACCTACACAGAGTTAATTTTGGAGAGAGTAGATCTACATTAAGTAGGCTGGCATGAGTCAGTTGTATCTCCTCTGGGTCTCAATACAGTGCTCACACACAGGTATCCTCAACGGCATCGGCTATGATTAGCAACTGACGCTGAGGGAAACCAAGACCCAACCCTGCCAAGAGTATAAGACGATGAAAAGTCCTAACCAAAGAAGCAGTAGAAAGAACAGCCTAAGAGAGGGAGGGTGACATCCTGTCAGCCTTCGAGGTGACAGGTGTGTGAAATGCTCTCACTGTGCTACTGATAATCAGTAAGGCATCCTTACTTGCACCTCTTGGACAGGTGGTACCCCAAAGTACCAGTCTAAACTCTTCCCAGTAATAGATGACTTCTTAACTGTAATTTCGCTGTTATGAGTCTATGTTTTCCAATAATCTTAAGTGACCTCTGTGAAAAGGTCATCTGATCCCCAGAGGGGTCAAGACCCACAGGCTAAGAACCTCTGCCTTATAGACTCACTGATTTGCCTGGCCTTTGCTTTTCTACAAGCAAGTCCCTCCCTACCAAGGTAGGCACTTCTAGCTTCCAGACACATCATCATACCCTGAGCTAAAATCCACCGTGGTGAGTATCCACCCTGTTTGGTACTTAAGTCCTCAAGCCCAGACAAGCCAATAAAAACGCACCAACAGTTGTTCTTTCTTACCACCTTTTCTCTCCCCTCCCTCATCTACCTGTTAGAAACGCTGACTACCGTCCTTCCCTTTAGCCTGGGGACCAATCCCAGGTTACTAAGCAGTCTGATCCCTGAACTGTACTTCCTGGAGTCTTATTTTAGGCTCACCTAGTTCAAGTGTTTTGCCCCATCCGGTCACCCAGCATAGGGTCTCAGGTTGTACCAAGAAAGACCTTTCAGGGATGCACACGGGCTGGATGTTGACACTGTAATTCACAGGGAAGGCCAGCAGAACAAGGGCAATGTCATGTACAATTGTTCTCATCATGGAGAAATCTTGGTGAATGATGATGTCTTGGACTGGAATCTTGACAGACATTCTGGACCTCAGGTCAGACTCTCCCATCCATACTACGTAATCCAGATGGCTGCAGAGAGATCCCGAAGGGTCTGTACAGTTCCCCTGCACACAGTCAAAGCACTTCCCAGCCTGATCTCATTTTTCTAAGGTGACTGTCACCAACCTCCCTCTGTTGAAACCCTATCCTCTCCGGGACCCCTAACCACCAGATGGTTCTCCAAGTGTGATCAGCATCACTTGGGAATGTATTAGAAATCCAAATGTTCAGGGGTTAACTGAAACTCAGTTAAAAACAAAACAACAAAATCACACAAAGAAACCCCAAAACCTGATAGCGCCATCTTTCACCCACCCCCATTGGTTTTGAGACAGTGTGTCTTTCTCTGTGGCCCAGGCTGGGCTGGAAACTCACTATTTAGACCAACCTGGCCCCTAACTCCCAGCAATCCTTCCAAGCACTGGGTTTACAGTCATGAGCCATCTCTATAGTTTTTCTCTCTCTTTCTATTTCTTTCTGTCTCTGTCTCTCTGTCTGTCTCTGTCTGTCTCTGTTTCTCTGTCTCTCTGTCTCTCTCTGTCTCTGTCTCTCTGTCTCTCTGTCTCTGTCTCTCTGTCTCTGTCTCTCTGTCTCTCTCTCTCTCTGTCTCTCTCTCTATGTCTCTCTCTCTCTCTCTCTCTCTCTCTCTCTCTCTCTCTCTCTCTCTTCCTCTTTTTCAAATAGCAAGAGAGGCAGGCCATAATGCCTGGTTAGGGGCCCAATCCCAGATCCCAGGCACTCACCCGTATACACAGTGGGCTGCAGTCATCACCCACCATTTGCTGATGAGGGAGCCCCCACAGATGTGCTGCTTGTTGACCTGAAGGCTCACTTGCCAGGGCCACTTCCTCACTGGCGCAGGCTTTCCACCAACTATCCTTGCAGTTCTGTGGCCACAAGCTGGAGCAGGTTAGTGAGGGGAGGGGCTGAAGGCGATCTGCTGCTCCACCACCACCTGCTCCTCAGAACCTGTAGAACAAGGCTCCGACCCCGCAAATCCCAGGGCAGGTGTGAGTCTGTCTCAAAGACTCATCAGGGAATAGTGGTGTCCTCTCAGATCTCAAGCATTGGTTGGGTCCACTCAGAGCCCACATTCCACACCCAAGGACCTAAGATCTTCCTCTACATCAGGGCCCCAACCCCCTGGGTCCAGGCCAGTTCTCTGTGGCGGGCCATGGCCCAGAAACTTCACCTGAAGTGGGTGGAATCCATGTTGGAAACGGTTGCCTTAAGAGACTCACGGTTGAAAAGGAGTGACCTGGAGTAAATGGCGTCGAATCAAGGGGCATCGTGCTGCCTCCTGGCTTGAGGGGCAGCGAAGTCTCAGGCATCCCTGTGAGTGGCCTCTCTTGTGGGTTTACACCCGGGTCATCTAGGCCATCCTCTGAGGGGAGAGGAGAAAGAGACGGTGACCCTGGAACCATACGGGCTTTGCCCAATCGCGTCTGAAGCAGCAAGAGCCAGACCAAGAGGCCAAGCGAGTCACAAGCCTGGAAGGTCATGCCACCTCCAAGGCCTCAACCTGTCTTAGTGCCTCCTCGCAGCGGTTGCCTAGGCTACGCACAGTTCTAGGGGAAACGGGCGCTTTGATTTAGCGCATCACCCCCTTTCCAGTTCTCCACTCCCTCCACCTGATCCACGACTGACTCCCAGACAGCGGGAGCAATCAAAAGGAAAGCTCCTTAGCAGAAATGTTGTACCTGAGGTTCCTAATCACTGCGACAGGGTGCACAAAGTCTTTTTTTTAAAGTTGACGCCCACAAGGTCTTCAAGATCGATTATCCATGTCAGTACTATGCAAACTAAAACCACTATGAGACATTGGTATCGGGCTTTCAAAACCAAACCCGTAACAACCTCAGATGCTGGCAGTGGTGCAGAGCTGAAGGATTGCCCACATTCTGTGGAGGGAATGTAAACACAGCCACTTCTGAAAGCAGGCTGGCAGTTTATAATGCAATTACCATACACTCCAGTAATTATATTCCTGAATGTTTAGTCCAAAGAATTAAAGATTTGTGTTCTATTAAAATGTATAAATGCTTATAGTATTAACATCTTTATTCACCAGCAGCTAAAAATAACGTGGTAGTAAAACTCTTTGCCTCCCTAAAACATACATATTCTAATCCCTGGAACCTGTAAGCGTGTTACTGTACTTGGCCAATAGAAGCACAAGAGATTAAGTTAAGGCTCTTGATGCAAGATTATCTGGACTGTCCAGGAAAGCCTACTGGAATCACAAGGGTTTTTTTTTTGTTTGTTTTTTTTTTCAACAAGATGATTGAAATCAAGGGAGGAAAGGAAATGTCAGAAAGGAGTGGAAGGGGGAGAGGGAGGAGAAATTGTTACTCTTGTTAGTGATTCTCAGGGGAGGGATACAGGTAGCCTCTAGAAACTGGAATCCAAATGATCTGATGCACACCTTTAATCCCAGCACTCAGGAGGCAGAAGCAGACAGATCTCTGCAAGTTGGAGGCTAGTCTGGTCTTCAGATTGAGTTCCAGGACAGCCAAGGCTACCCAGAGAAACCTGGTCTTGGGAAAACAAAACAAAACAAACAAACAAACAAACAAACAAACAAAACCAACCAACCAAACATTTCTCCCCCTCAGTCTCCAGAAGGAAACAAGTCAGATAACTTTGGCTTTAGGACTTCAGAGCTCAGAATTACAAAATATAGGTGGGTTATTTCAAGCCACTAAATTGGTGGTAAATTATTACAGCTACAAAAAGAAATCAGTACAAATCCAGATATCCTCTAGTGGGTGAATGGTTAAACAGCCTTATACTCTTGCTGTAAAACTTGAGAATTTTGAGGAAAGCCACTAAATTGGTGGTAAATTATTACAGCTACAAAAAGTAATCAATACAAATCCAGATATCCTCTAGTGGGTGAATGGTTAAACAGCCTTACACTCATACTGTTAAACTTGAGAATTTCAAGGAGAAAAGACCAAATGCCCAATTGTTCAATTAAAGCAAGCTGTATTTTGGGATGTGCCTGAGACTGGCCAGCCAGCTGTCTCACCCTCAGCTGAGATCTGAGGAAGCAGGCCTGCAGGTCTCTTGAGGTCCTTCTTATAGGCAGATAAGGTGTTCACAGAGGAAAGGCACTCACTGTTAGGAATAACAATGGAAGGGAGGGAACAGGGTAAGGCTGCTCATCATGTATATAGGGTCGCATATTCAGTGTAGGTTGAAAAACATGTTTTGCAGTTTACATCAGGTCTAAGAAAGGGATGTGTGTGTGTGTGTGTGTGTGTGTGTGTGTGTATGTGTGTGTGTATAGCGCCCTGGCTGTCTTAGAACTTGATCTGTAGACCAGGCTGACCTCAGATTCAGAGATCTGCCTGCCTCTGCCCCCTGAGTGCTGGGATTAAAGGTGTGCACCACCACTGCTACCCAGCGCAAGAAGAATGTATTCTTAACTACAAATAGAAATTGACAAGTTAAGTTTTTTTTTGTTTTTTGGTTTTTTGGTTTTTCGAGACAGGATTTCTCTGTGTAGCCCTGGCTGTCCTGGAACTCACTCTGTAGACCAGGCTGGCCTCGAACTCAGAAATCCACCTGCCTCTGCCTCCCAAGTGCTAGGATTAAGGGCATGCACCACCACCGCCTGGCTGAGTTAAGTGTTTTTTTAACTACAAACAGAAAACTTCACCTGAAGAAGATATTGTTCCTGTTTTGGTCTCCCGATACACAGAGTATTACTAACCAATGGGAATAAACTAGTGTGGAGGAGGAGGAAGAGGAGAGAGAGAGAGATAAGAGGGTAATGGCGGTTTAATATAATCACAGAACACTGTATCGGTGCATGGAATTATGTAAAAACAAATGTAAAACATGCATTTTAAAGTTTTTCTTCTATTTTAATATTGCTGTTATTTCTTAATGTTTTACTGACTAGTCTCTCAGTTGTCTAAAATTTGCTGCTTTTCCATATTTCCAAAAATACCGAATAGCTGTTGACCACGGTGAACAGCACATTGCTGACCACCCGAATTGTGCTGTCTGTCCTTTGGGAATGTTGAAGTCTAGAAGACACCTAAGCTCTTCCGTATACTGGAGGTTAGTTTGCATTTGAGCTACCTCTGCTGGGCACTAACAGTTCAGTTTTGTAGAGTCTCTGCCCACCGCTGGGTTACTAAGCAATGTTTCCTCTCTAGTTGGATGTCTCCCAACACTGTGGGGCCTCTGAGAACTGTTCACCTTTTAATAGTCTGGCATTCATTTAACCTAGCATCTTGGAAATGGCTGTGAAGATGAGCTATTCCCCTTCTGCTTTTGAAACAAGTCCTCAAACTCACTCCTGACTCCACCTCCCCAGTGCCAGGATTACAGGCATTTACCACCAGGCCCAGCTAATAGGCTAATTTAAAAGAAAGAAAACAAAGAAACAAAAACAAAAAAAGCCCACTTATTTACTTAGTCTCTCTCTGTCTCTGTCTCTGTGTGTGTGTGTGAGAGAGAGAGAGAGAAAGAGAGAGAGAGAGAGAGAGAGAGAGAGAGAGAGGGAGAGAGAGAGAGAGAGAGAGAGAGAGAGAGAGAGAGAGAGAGAGAGAGAGAGAAGAGAGGGTAATGGAATACATGTAACATGGAAACAGAAGGGGACCTTTCCGGGAGGAGGAAGAGGACCAACAAGAGGGGACACTGGGGCAGGCAGTTGAGCAGGAGGATGAAGAAAAGCAAAATATGACTGACATACACGTATGAAAATATCACGATAAAATTTAATATTTTGTTCACTAACTGACAATTAATTCTGAAAAACAGATAGCGACGAAAGATGATGTTATGCACCTGCATACATGAAACTGGGACAGGAGCATTGCCATCTCAAGGGAAGCCTGGGCTATGTGAGAGTCTGACGACGACAATGATGGTGGTGATGATGATGGTACAGGATAACACTAACATCTCAGTTTCCTGAGCTTCCCACATTACCACCTTTCTTGTTTAAGAAAATGCACAACTCAAAGGCTGAGATTAGTCCTGGCTTTGACAAATTTCTAACATAATCTAGCTCAAATCAGCATCTTCTTAGCAACTTCTTTCTGTCCTGTCTTCCACTCAGTGAGTGAGATACAGGATTTTGAAGGCTACTGTGCACCATAAACATGATAAAGTATAAATTTGTGTAGGTGGACCCCAAACAACACTAAGAACATAAATTGTGAGTTTGAGGACAGGAAAAAAAACTGTCTACAATCTAAACTCAGGGGGCTTGGCTCCTTCTGCTCAACACTTTTGTTTGTTTGCCGGGTTGCTTTTTATTTCTTCATCCATTTACACAAATTTCAGCAAGTCCTCGACATCCTCCTCCTCTTTATTCTATTCTTATTTTATATGTACAGGTATTTTTTTCTACGTGTGTTTTTGTATATTTACATGTATCCCCAGTGGTCACAGAAGACAGAGAGGGTGTAGAATCCCCTGGAACTGGAGTTACAGACACTTGTGAGTACCAAGTGGTTGCTGGGAATTGCTCTCTGGGAGGGCAGTCAGTACTCTTAATGGCTAAGTCATCTCTCCAGGCCATTCTTCCTTTCTTTGTTGTGGTGTATAGGTGTGCGTGTAGGGAGATGGGGAGGGGTGAGACAAGGCCTCTTTACATAGCCCTGGCTGTCCTGGAACTTGCTATGTAGACCAGGCTGGCTTTGAACTCAGAAAGACCCACTTCCCTCTACCTTCCAAGTGCTGAGATTAAAAGTGTGCCACCATTCCAGGCCTCCTTTTTTAAAGATAGCACCTCATTAAAAAGTTCAGGCTGGCCTTAAAGTCTCTCAGCCTGAACTCTCAATCCTCCTGCCTCCAGCTCCTGGAGGTAAAGAGGGCTGGAGTTAGAAGCATGAACTGTCACATACATGTCTTTACTTATTGTTTATTTATATTAACTCACTACACCTGGCTTCTTAGGATTTTAAAAAATGAATTTATTATTTCTCAGTGGTAAGTAGAATTGCCTTGTTTGAGGCTGACTGCATAGGGGTTGATGTCAAAAGTATCCCCTCTCCAGGAGAAAGACATAGGGACAGGTATGGCCCTCATGCCTCACTGGACAACAATAGGGGGACCGGAGTCATTACAAAGTCCCCTTCAATTGATGGAGGTCAGGCCTCTATCCCTGCCTTCGCAAGATTAGATTCGCCATAGCTCATTTATATTTAAAGAAGGGAGGAGATGTCAGGGGCATCCCTGCTTATACACTGAAGGCCTAAAATCAGCCATAGGCCTAAAATCAGCAATAGGCCTGTCATACATGTATACTAACACCAAGTCTTGGGTCTCTGTGGATAAAAATTGAAACAGATGGCTATAAGCTACTGTAAACAGGCAGTTTTTTGTGACAATTTACCAGCCTGAGTAGTCATAGACCTTGTAAATAGGTAGCCTTGGCAGATATTACCAACTTAGATAAGGACAAGTGAATCATAGGCAGAGTCATCTATCCCCTGAACCCTCACCCAGCCGATACCCTGTTCTGAAAGATATCTGTATT